GTTATATATGTAGCGTCTGCATGCAGTTACATCTTCTTACTCTCTCATCCCACTGTAGACTTCTTTTCAGGGGCTGCAGCAGCTCGTGCTGCAGCAGCAGCAGCTAGTAGTCCTCCTGTAGAGCAGCAGCACCAGCAGCAGCAGCAGCAGCAGCAGCCACGAAGAAAACTCTCCTCACGAGCAGGTTAATTCATACAAATGCAGTGTCAGTGTTTTCTCTTATGCATGCACCGCTTTCGTCTTTATATACATTGTTTGGGGCTTTGTGGTTTTGCATGCATGCATGCATGCATGCATGCATTCACATATGGATGCATGCATCGACGCATGAATAAGTCTATATACACACCAACATATATATATACATGCACGCATGCATGCATGCATGCATGCATGCATGCGTGTACTTTGGGGCTGGTTTATGTTGCAGGCATGTTGGGGGCGCTGCCGTATGTGGGTCTGACATTGGCTTCGCCTTTTGCGGGGCGTATATTTGCCTATTGGCCGGCGAAGAGAGTGGTGGTGGTATCGATGGCTCTTAATGCTTTTTCTACCCTTCTTATGGTGCTGACTCTGCTGCTGCCGCACGACGCGCTGCCCCTCTCCAGCAGCAGCAGCAGCAGCAGCAGCAGCAGCGGGGGTAGCAGCAGCGGTGGTGTTGTGGATGGGGGCGGCGTTGGTGTGGGTGCATCATCCCCTGACATGGTGGTATCAGCAGCAGCAGCAGCAGCAGCAGCAGCAGTTTCAGCAGCAGCAGAGACAGCAACATCCTCCTCTCGTCCTTTTTTTCATCTTCCTGATTTCTCCTTTAGGGACCTAACCCCTTGTGCTCTGCTGCTGCTTTCTAGCCGCCTGCTGGTGGGGTGTACGCAGGCCCCCTTCGTTATATTTGCGCCTGTATGGGTCGATGAGTTCTCCCCCCCAAAGAAAGCAGCTCTATGGATGGGTGTCATGCAGGGCGCAGCTGTTGTAGGCGTCACTGTAAGTCTCCTGCTGCTCCTGCTGCTGCTGCTGCTGCTGCTGCTGCTGCTGATGAGGATGGTGGTTGTGGTGGTGATAGGGGTGGTGCTGCTGCTGCTACATATGCCGCTGATGCTGCTGCTGATGCTGCTTCTCTTAGCTCTGATACTTCTGCTGCTGTTGCACTCCTTCTACTTTTGTTGTTGTTGTTGCTGCTGCTGCTGCTGCTTCTGCTGCTGCTGCTGCTGCTGCTGCTGCTGCTGCTGCTTCTACTGCTGCGTCTCGTGCTTCTGGTAGCTGTGATGTCAGCAGCATTTGTTGTTTATTTTTTCTTGTTCTTGCTTTGTTGTTTATTTTTTCTTCTCTGGTTTATTTTTTCTCTGTTTTATATTACACATCTATCCTTCCTTACCATCATCTATGAATCCAAACACCACCACCACCACCACCAAGAAAAACAACAATTTATTTTTTTTTTTTTTTTTTTTTTTTTTTTTTTTTTTTTTTTTTTTTTTTTTT